AGCTGAATTTTGGTCATCCCTTTTCAACAAAATACTATCTTGCATTTGAGTACAAAAGAAGAAAGTTCATTTGTAAACACTCTGAATAGTAGATTCAGTTAGAATACTTGCATTAATATAAATCCATTTTTAAGTATTCAAATGAAAGCAGAAATATTTTCAATCAAAATTGAAGCAGTTGGGTACTTTTAAAATATTTTGCTGTAAATGCGTTCTTAAACAATATATGGTGAATACTGTACTGACCTACAGAAAAATACTTTATTCTAGAAAGTCAAACATTACTCCTTTTTTACCTTGATTCCATTTAATTTGAAAATAGAATGTTAATTGTTAAATCAGAGACCCTTGTAACAGAATCTGTTACATGAGAGTGAAACACACTGGTGTATTCAGCAAAGGTTTAGTAATTTGTCAAATACAACACTTAGGGTATACAATTGTCCTTTTTTGGTCACTGTCTTATTTAAAACATGCAGACCACATATTTTTTACAATAATACAGAATAAAATATTACTTTTTTTTTTTTTTTTCCTGAGCTATATTACAGTAAGTGGTTTATATATAGAGATATTTCTTTCTTATTTGTAATGAATTTTGTTGTACTTTGCAGCTTGTCAGTGTTTGACTGAGAACATTTTCCTTGTGAGGGCAAACATGCTTCAGTGCCTATTTTGCTATGTTAAACCTAATAGTTAACTTTGTTATTATGCCTATATGAATACTAACACTGTAATAAAAATCATTTTAATAGTCCTGTGAAGCAGACCACATAAACCAAGAACATTTATTTTCATTGAAGGCTTGTGCTAATTTTTTATTAAGAGATACATTAAACATTGATACATCCAACCTCTGATTGAACCTTCAGAGTTGTCACATATAAGGGTAGCCAAAGATTTATTATGTAATATAAAATTAGGCGTATACAGTAAGCTTCATAATAAATGACCTTTGCAGACTGGAGATTGCCACATAGTATAGTTTCTTTTGTTGCACAATAGAAAGGGATTTGAAAAAAAAAAAAAAAAAAACCAAAAAAAAACCAAAAAAACAAACCAAAACCCAAAAACCAACCAAATATGAAATCATAGAAGTTGGAATTCCTAAAATTATAAATATTCTCAAAGAAAATCCAAAATTGGTTCCTGATGAGATAACATATTCTAGAAAGTCTGTCTTTCAGTGATGGACAATCAAAATATATACTTTTTTGACGTGCTATGGATAGGAATACTGTGAAATAACTAGATAATAAGTCTGACAAACTTATTTTTGTAATATATCAAGAAAAGCTTGTTAAAGATTTATTAAAATGCTCACTACAAAAAGATTTCTCTGGTGTACATAATGGGTAAGTTAATGGAATGAAAGATACTGTGGTAGAAGTAAATATGTATTTAGTAAGGAACAATATGGAATGAGAGAAAGGTTAAATTCTTTGTAGCGTATTTATATCATTACTTATTCTTATCTCTGTCTTTTCTGTTGATTTAAATACACAGCTAGAAGACAAAAGACAATTGTCTACTGGCACAGACATTCAGAATGTGCCTAGAGTTGAAGAGGCTCACTGGCATGATGCCTTTGTCACTCTTAAATCTGATTTCACAGAACTTGAAAAGAAGGTACGTCAAAGCTTTAACATAGCTCGGCCACAAAATAGGAGTGGCAAGATCTCATAACAAAACTATCAAAAGCAACATGGAAAGAATTTCGAAAATATAACACATAATGTGTATGAAACCTAAACAAATTCTGATTTTATTTTTGACTGTAGAAACTGCATTAATTACACTGAAGTATATTTATACATTCTGGGGAGAAAACTCTACATAACAACACTTTTTTCCTGATTAGTTCACTGTACAAATACCATAGGACTTTTATGACTTAACACCTAGAATTATTATAAAGGAAGATATGCAGTTGTGTAGCTCATGTTTATACTGAGTAAAATTAATAAACTGGGTGTAGACTTTTGAAGCATAGAAAATGTGCCAGTATGGGAGAATGGCACATTCGTCTCTAAATTCAAACATTTTTTAAAAATAATTCTACAAGTTACCATTTTAAGTACCAGACTTTTATTACAGAGTATGTAGACCCACGTATTTATACCAGCATAAATAAAATTAAAAATATAATTAAAACTGTCAGGCTGAGACTATTTTACAGAATGGAGTTCGTATAGATTCCTTTTCCTCTGTGAAATGAGTTGGTAATGCCTTTGCTGTAAGTAATGGACTAGTGATGTGTCACTGGAATTGTGTACAGTGCTGTTTACAGTCTTTGACAATCTCACCCCACAAGAATCCTACCATATCACGATAGGCTAGTGTCAGATTGTATAAATATTGAGTAATAGTATGCACTGCTGCTACCCATGATGCATTTGGTTAAGGCATAGAGGCTTCAGTGCAAGGGAATTTTATTTCATTAAAATTAAAATATCTACTTGTTCTAACTGGATAGATGGAATAAATGTTTTAAACACTACAGAAAATATCTAGTAACTTTTAATTAGGTAACAACAGGGCCAATAAAGCAGGTCTTGTTGTGGGAGTCTGCTATAGACCTCCAACCAAAGCAGTGAGGTGGATGAAGCTTTCTGCAAACAGTTGGATGAAATCTTGCAGTCACTTGCCCTTGTTCTTGTGGGGGAATTTAACCCCCACAGTTTAATCTGCTGGGAACACAACACAGCAGAGAGGGAACAATCCAGGAGGTTCCTGGAATGTGTGGAGGATAACTTCCTCACACAGCTGGTGAGTGAACCGACCAGGGCAGGTGCCCTCCTGGACCTGATTCTTATGAACAGGGAAAGAGCCTGGTCGGAGACCATCTCGGGTGCAGTGATCATGAGATGACTGAGTTTTCAATACTTAGAGAAAGAAACAGAGGGGTTAGTAAAACTGCCACCTTAGACTTTTGGAGGGCAGACTTAGACCTGTTCAAAAGACTGGTTAACAAAATCCCTTGGGAGGCTGCACTGAAGGATATGGGAGCCAGGAAGGCTGGACACACTTCCAGAGAGAAGTCTTAACAGCACAGGGGCAGGCTGTTCCCGTGTGCCGGAAAACAAACAGGTGGGGAAGGAGACCGGCCTGCCTAAACAGGGACCTTTGGCTGGATCTCAAGAACAAAAGGATAATCTATTGCCTTTGGAAGAGGTGGCAGGTCTCTCATGAAGACTATAAAGATGTAGAGAAGCTATGCAGGGAGAACATCAGGAGAGCCAAAGCACAGCTAGAGTTCAACTTGGCTACGGCTGTTAAGGATAATAAAAAATGTTTCTATAAATTAATTAACAGCAAAAGGAGGATTAGGGAAAATCTCCATCCTTTACTGGATGCAGAGGGAAACATGGTAACAAAGGATGAGGAAAAGGCTGAGGTGCTCAACACCTACTTTGCCTCAGTCTTTAGCAGTGGAACTGGCTGTTCCCTGGACACCAGCCTCGTGAGCTGGGAGATGGGGAGGGGAAGCAGACTGAGGTCAGCACAGTTGAGGAGGAGGTGGTCAGAGACCTGCTGCACCACTTGGATGCACACAGGTCTGTGGGACTGGATGGGTTACACCCAAGGGTGCTGAGGGAGTTGGCAGATGTGCTCAACAAGCCGCTGTCCATGATTTACCTGAAGTCATGGCTAACTGGGGAGGTCCCATTGGACTGGAGGGTGGCAAATGTGACACCCATCTACAAGAGAGGCAGAAAGGAGGATCCAGGAAACTATAGACCTGTCAGTCTGACCTCAGTGCCAGGGAAGGTCATGGAGCAGGTCATCTCGAGTGCCATTAAAAGTCATATAATGGACAACCAGGGGATCAGGCCTAGTCAGCATGGGTTTATGAAAGGCAAGTCCTGCGTGACAAACCTGATCTCCTTCTATGACAAAATGACCTGACTATTGGACAAGGGAAAATCTGTGGATATTATCTACTTGGATTTAAAAAAAAAAATTGACAGAGTTCCCATAGGATTCTCACAGGAAAACTCACTGCCCATGTCCTGGATGAGCGAACGGTCTGCTGGGTTGGATGGTCCCAGAGAGTGGTGGTCAGTGGAGCAAAATCCAGCTGGCGGCCGGTCACAAGTGGTGTTCCTCAGGGCTCGGTGTTGGGGCCATTTCTGTTCAACATCTTTATTGATGATCTTGATAAGGACGTAGAGTGTATCATTAATAAGTTTGTAGATGATACCAAGTTAATCGGGAGTGTTGATCTCCATGAAGATAGGGAGGCTCTACAGAGACACATGGATAGATTGGATTGGTGGGCCAATGTTAACGGGATGAGCTTCAGCAAGGCCAAGTGCCAGATCCTGCACTTGGGCCACAACATCCCCCTGCATGGCTACAGGCTTGGGGAGGTGTGGCTGGAGCTGTCTGGAAGAAAAGGATCTGGGGGTTCTAACTGACAAACAGCTGAACATGAGCCAGCAGTGTGCCCAGGTGGCCAAGAAAGCCAACAGCATCCTGGCTTGTATTAGAAATAGTGTGACCAGCAGAAGTAGGGAGGTGATAGTCCCCCTGTACTCTGCACTGGTGAGGCCACACCTGGAGTATTGTGTCCAGTTTTGGGCACCTCAATATGAGAGAGATATCGAGGTGCTGGAGAGAGTGCAGAGGAGGGCAACGAAGCTGGTGAATGGCCTGGAGATCAAATCCTATGAGGAGTGATTGAAGCAGCTGGGACTGTTCAGTTTGAAGAAGAGAAGGCTGAGGGGAGACCTCATCACTCTGTACAACTACCTGAAAGGACATTGTAGAGAGGTTGGTGCTGGTCTCTTCTCACGGGTAATTAGCGATAGAACAAGAGGGAATGGCTTTAAACTGCAACAGGGGAGGTTCAGACTGGACATTGGGAAAAAAAATTTTCAGAGAAAGAGTGGTCAGACAGTGGAACAGGCTGCCCAGGGAGGGGTGGAGTCACCATCCCTGGATGTGTTTAAGGGTCATTTAGATGAGATGTTGGGGGATATAGTGTAGGGGAGAACTGGAACTTTGTAGAGTAAGGCTGATGGTTGGATGCGATGATCGCAAGGGTCTTTTCCAACCTGAATGATTCTGTGATTCTATGAATATCAACAGAAAGTATAAAATAAGGAAAAATATAATTTTAATAAATAAAATCTACAGAGACTAAAATTATTAAATTGGTGGACACTCATCTCCAGTACATGTAGTATGTATAGACTGCACCATTGAAGTTTATCAGCTTCTGGGTAACTGATTCACTGAAGAAACAGGAAAAGTTTACCTTAGTGCACACATATCTTCAGATCTTCAGGGCAATTTCTCAGCCTGAGTTGGATTTGTCTAGATACAATGTGTATGCAGTATAACCCAGATCATAATGTATCCAAATTTTCACTTGCTATAAAGAATGACAGTTGTGAAAAGTCTAAATTTATGAACTTTAGTTTTTAGCTGGTATAAATGTAATTTCAAAACACACTTTTTTATAGCTCATGAAAAGTTCAAGTTTTGTATTTTTTATTTTTTTTATTTTTTTTTAAACATATTTGGAACATCTCTACAGTGTTGCAATATAAGATCCACAGCTACACAGAATAAACATCTGGAGCAACTACTTTTTGTTGTCTGGATGGACTCTCAATATACATTTACAGAAACTGAATGGCTTGACTGAACTATGGTACAAGCTACTACCGTGAATGGCAGCACTTTCAACAGTATGCCCTACTCATGTTTTCGTTTGGAACTAATAGTAGTCATTTATTTTAAGTTCCTCCTATGTGCTGCTGTATTAACAAGAAATGATAACACTTCTTGGGTATGTGAAAAGCACCCACAGTTTTGCTTTTGTCATGCAAGTCTGCTTTATATTATTATCACCAAAATATTTAGCTGGCACCAAAACTTATGTTTTCCATTGTTAGACATATGATAGATCAGATTAAAGTTAAAAATAATACAGTTGAAATACCAGGTGACTCAACTATCTTATAAGTGACAGTTTAGTCATGGATTGTTCTTCCATTCAATATCCTGCCACTAAATGGTGTTCTTTCCTCTGGTCATTTTTTGGTGTCATCCGAGCAGTGGCAGCTGAGGAGAGCACGAGAAAAGAATCCTTTCAGAATGTGGTACAAGAACTTACAAATATTTGGTACATTCTATTGCTCTATAAAATATACATGTAATATCCTATATGTATCATAATTGAAGATACATTATTATGTGTAAGAATACAGGAATCTGAATGGTGCATAACTTGTTGATTTTTTCTCCATCTTAAAGACTGATTCATGATTTTCCTCTAGTGTAACAAAGCTTTGCCATTTGGCTATGAAATATGTATTTACTGGTAAAGGAATTAATTTTGTGTGATATATTCGGTCAAATAAGGCTTTGCTATTCTTGTCTTAAAACAGGAAACTGTGATTCTGTCCTGTAGTTTTTAAAAAAATTTCTTTTACATACCCTTGTTATAAATGGGGAAGTAAAGATAGAGTGGCTGTAGGGATCTGGATACAGGACAAATGTTTCCTACTTATTTGTGAGGAGAAAATGGCCACAACTCTACAGTGGAGCTGAGAGGTCATTGCTAAGCTCTAGGTGACAGTGTTAATACAAGTGTAGTCACAGGTCTATGTCCATATGCATTTCTCATCACTGTCCCATCTCCCTACCTGGACAAAATCGCATACCCTTGCACTTTCATGAGAAGAAAACAAAGCAAATAATTTTGATTGAGGGAATTAGGACTACAAAGCATGTTACTAACTATGCTTGCTCCATGTGATGGAGCTAATAGATTATCAGTCAAGGTCAAGATATGAATATAAATATATTTGCTTTTCTGTCTCTTCATCAAGAAGCAGATTGCAGCTATAATTCCTAGCTTTTATATAGTCTTTCTCCTCCCTTTTTTTTCATCCTTGCTCCTATATCCATTTAAAACCTTTCATCATAAATGTCATGGCTATTATGTATTGCAGACAAAATTGATGAATGTGAAGAATCGTATCAGAAATGCCATACCTCTTTAATACTATGCCTGCTGCTGGATTATTCAATTTACTTTTTTTGGGGGGCAGTTTGCTTTAGAAGAAAGAACAAAATGATGGAGGTCTGGCTCAATTTCAGCCAGCTAAGTTAGTAGCTAGGATGAACAGGGAGCCTATATTACTAAAGTTTTCCTATTTCTTTCACATTTTTTTAACACTTTTTTCTCTTAGAGGCAGAATGGCAACAAAATTGCCTCAATGGCAGATGTAATCCATTGATACCAAGATTCTGGAAACACTTCTTCTGAATTTGGGATATAGGAAGGTTAGGTTGTCCTTGAAAAAAGATATTAGAACAGCATTGAAATTTCTTCATTGTGGCATCCTTTTATTTTTTCTTACAGATTTATATAGCAAATTGCAGTAGATTTTTCTCAGTTGTGTGTTGATTTGTTACACTTCTTGGAAAAGTGATCATTTTCATTTACAGATATTTTAATTAGCTCTCCTTATATATACTTCAACAGTTAATAATCCCTTGAAGAAGTTTATTCTGATTGATGAGTTTATGTGTTTTGTAAACCCCTTGGGTTTTAGGTTTTGGGGGCTTTTTTTGTAGGCAAAGAAACTTTTGGATACACTGATTCCCTCGATAGTGCTAAAACTGCTGCAGCAGATGTCCCCAGGCCCAGCCAGCAGCAAGACTTAGCACATATTTGCAATAGGCACACAAGCATGCATACACACAATGCATACACATACGTAAGTGGCCGGTCACATAGATCGATGCAGACAGAAAACACAGCACTCGTACAAATACAAATAGCATCAAATGCCTTTTCCTCTTTTCCTTTCTGGATGATCAGGAGGAAAGCCAGTTAGTGGAAAATATATACATATATGTACATATATACAGTGTGGATCCCTCCATTAACTGGAGCTTACACACTGTCTGTGCAGTCAGTTCCACTGCCTGTGGAACTGTGCCCTATCATGTGAGCTTGTAGACCTTTTGCCTTTTTAGAGGATATGTAAAGGATGTGTTAATTCTTTGTTGTTGCTCAACAAAAGGTTATATCATGTGGAATACATGTTTCTGTACGATATAGTTCTTTCGGTGCTGGGTTTGTTGTGTTGGTTTGTTGTGGGGTTTTTTTTATTTATTTTAGAAAGAGGAGTTGACTGTACTGGACTTCAAAATGAACTTTGATATCTGATAGTCAAGTTAAGCTGGGCAACTTTCTGAAGTTCTTCAGGGAAGTCCAGCCTGTAATTCAAGGTTTCCGGGGCACATGTATTTTACATAGAGAGATGATCACCTCAGTATTGCTATTTCTGTTTTGATTTCTGATAGGATCATTAGCAGTTCAAGCTTCTGCATGGTCTTTCTATGATTAATTTTTTGCCCAGTATTTTCTTTCTTTGCAGAAAAAAATTATCAGTCTGAGGAAAACACAGATTCTGTTGATGCATCTCTGTCTCAGTGAACATTCAAAAAATGAATCTGTACTGTCATAGACTATGGAAATTCGTAGAATGGCTCTTAGTGATGAGAGCTTTTCTAGTTCCTGGCAGGATCTGGTTTATTTGTTGCCTAACCACCCCAGTAAAATAACACCTGGCCCTCTTAGGACCAATAGTTTTTATCTACCTAATGTCTCATGCTCATCTTTGTTTTGGTTGTCTCCAAATATGATTACACTCAGTGTACTTTCTCACCAAGTAGTAGGTCACTTTTTTTTTTTTTACACTGTTGAGTTTCTCAGCTGTGGTGATGAAATTAGCTCAGTGTTCACAAGAAATGCCCCTCCACCTACCATGGCTTCCTAGAGCAATGATGTCAACTGTGTCTGTAGTGGAATGGCAAGGTCATTTGGGCATCTTTGTTGTATGTGGGCCTTCAATTCAGAAGGAACAGAAATTGCATTTTAGTATTCTAGAGGCCCACCTTTGTAGTTCAGGCAAAGTGTTCCTATTTTCATACAGTCAATAACAGCTAACTCAGTAACCCTTTACAAGATCACTACTGGTGTAGAGTTCTGTAGGAAACTAACAATGGGAGATCTGCTCCATAATGTTCTCAGTGATCTTGATGCGTATAACCAACCTTGTTTAGATCCACTTGCTTCCTACCATGAAGAGAAGGCATCTATTCTTGTGCTCCTATTTGCATGAACATACAGGCTCTTTGGGGAGGTCGTTCCTTATTCCATCATCATCATATTGTATATATTTTTGTTTTTCCACTGTGATCAGGTGTTCTGGTTAAGATGAAAAAGGAATCTGACTGTTTTGCTATGGCAGACATAGCAGAACACTCTGTAATTGCAGCTGCAGTCCAATTTCAGTTCTCCTTCAAAGTCTTCCAGGGTTTCTAGGGTTTTATTTCTGTGCTGGAAGTAAAACTGAAACAATGCCAAATGCATTCAATACTGTTTCTTCATACTAAACAAGAGAGCATGGCTTTTTGCTTTTTTTTTTTTTTTCTCCTGCAAGCACTGCAATGGAAAAACTTCTCAGATCTCTAGTCATAGGGCATATTTATGAATATGTGTATGCTCTTTCACTTGAAGAATTGCAACTACTGGTAAGTAATCACTTTGTCCTTGTTTACCAGGATTAGTTTGTTGTAACTTGTGCAGTTATTTAATTTTTAAAAATTGATTCTAACACCCTATTTTCCCTGTCAGTTTGATTTTGGTGTTTATATACTCAACTATCTAACAAGAACTCCAATTTAAATTATATTTTGGTCATTGTTACTCCATCATAATAGCAAGATATATGTGTGTGTACATAAGGACATTGATATAGTCTCATCTGAAAGAATCTTTTCCTGTGAACTGAGGTCCAACAGTTAAACTTCTGGAGTGTTAAGACTTAAAAACTTCATTATTAATATTAAATGCATCTTTAATTTTGTGATTTAGTCCTGTGAAGAATGAAGATTTTTCTAAAAATTGCACTGAATAATGCAAAACAACCATCACATTTCCCACATTTTTGTTTAGTTTCACCATATTCTAAAGTGATGACAGCATACGTGTTAAGACATTTCCAGGGTGGTGTAAGCTACTTTTCCTTTACTCAAGGCATTCAAAGAGGA